CGGCAACGTAAATTGGTACAGCTATTATGGAAAACAGTATGTCAGTTTGTCAAAGAGTTAAAATAGAAGTACCATATGATTGAGCATTGCCACTTCTGTGTACATATCTCAATGAGATATCTGTATAGCCATGTTCATTGTAGTGTCATTCACAATAGCCACGATATGAAATTAACCTATATGTATTTCCATGTTTGAATGAATAAATAAAATGTGTCACATATATTCACTGGAATATTATTCAAGCATTAAAAACAGGAGGACCCTGCTATTTGTAACAACATGGTTGGATCTGGAGGTCACTAGAATAAGTGAAATAAGGCAGGCAAAGACAAATACTGTAGAGCATCATTTATATGTGAAATATGTGGAATCTTAAAACACAAAAACAAATATGCCCCCCTTAAAAAAACAAACAAAAAAGCTATTTCATAGAAACTGAGAAGAAAATAGTGGTAACCAGGTCAGGAAGGGATGGAAATGGGGTGATAGGTGTCAAAGCTTACAAATTTGTGTTTATGAGAACAGGTTATGAGGATCAAATGTACATCATGATGACTACAGCTAATAATAGGATACTGTACAATTCAAAGTTGCCTATTATCGACAGACAGAGATAACAAATTTTGGAAAGGATATGAAGAAAAGGGAATCCGTATACACTCAGCAGGGATGCAAACTGGCACAGCTGTTAACATCTGGCAGAAGTAAATCATTCTCGGCTCAGACACAAAAAATAAGAGTTAACTATGTGAGGTGATGGATATGTAAATTATGTTTATCTTGATAATCATTCCACCGTGTATGTGTACAACAAATCATCATATTGTACACTTTAAATATATACAATCATCTTTGTCAATTATTCTTCAATAAAGTTATAAAATATCCAAATCCAGAAAAAGTAATGTGTTCTAGGTATCCTCACTTAGCATTTAACAGTTTTCAATGATTTTAGTAAAGTATCTTAGTTAGATACATGTTCAATGTAAAACTGCACTTCAAGTTAAAAATAATAAATTTTTCTTTTTAGTTTTTTAAATTTTATTTGTACTGTGCATACTATCAGACTTGTTCCCACTTTTCTCCCTTTCCCCACCTCCTCCCAGCCCCACCCTCTCCCCTCCCCAAGACAATCCTCATATTGTTGTCTTTGTCCATGGGTTGTGCATAGATGTCCTTTGCTTAATCCCTTTACTATCCTTTATCCCACACCCCCGCCTTTTCATCACAGTGTAAACTGAAATCATAATACACATAAGTCACTTAGGCATGTAGATATCATGGAAAATTATTCATTTAAAATTTTATGAAACAATTATAATGAAAGGATTTGTATGTTTAAAATTATGTGGAAAAGCAGAATATATAATATATAGTAATATATGTACATACACATATATTAATCACAAAGCAGATTATATCTATTACAAAAACAACTAGATTGAAATATTTCAAAATATTGTATTTCTTCTTAGTGATGGTATTTTAAATGTTATCTCTTAGCTTTGGACTTCTTGATGTTTTTAAAATTGAAAAATGATATTTCTGGAATAGAGAGGAAGTGAATATGTAAAAGTAAACATAGCAGCAAAATGAAGAGCATGTATTCCAGAGAATATCAGCTCCAAGTGCAATCAAGAAGGATAAAAAGTAACTCCAGTCCCAGGCAGTTAGTTCACAGTCAGCAGGGCCTCACTACTCTCTTTAGCAGGGAATGTTCACTACTGCTGGCAGCCTTCCCCAATCAAAAACCAGCTCTCAAACGTTAATAAGGGTGCAATTTATCAACATGTCTTACAATTGTCAGCACATGCCATTATTTTTGACATAAAATGTAAGTGCTTCAGCAACAAGCACTGTCCTAGTTTTTTTTTTAAAGATTTTTTAAATTTTATGTTTTTAGAGAGGGGAAGGGAGGGAGAAAGAGGGAAGGGAGAGAAAGAAACATCAATATGCGGTTGATGCTCACGTGTTCCCTACTGGGGACCTGGCCCACAACCCAGGTGTGTGCCCTGACTGGGAATAGAACCAGCAGTCCTTTGGTTTGCAGGCTGGTGCTCAATCCACTGAGCCACACCAGCCAGAACAAGCATTGCTCTTTTAAAGTCCATCTTTACTAAACCTATCAATTCTATTCAAAATTTAATAGATTCTCAGTAAAACTATTGGAAATGGAGTATTCAGTTGTGGGCTCATTTTTCAAGGTTCATAGGTAAATTTCTGTGGTCACATAATCTTTAGGGTAACATATATCAATTTCTACTATCTCCTGCCCTCATACATCAATTTATGTAGGTATATATGTGTATGCATATGTAGGTATGTATTCATTCGTTCACTTAAGTATGTTTATGCAAGACCTAAATGTACATTGTGGCTATAGTAGCAAGCAGATCAGATGAGTTTACCATTTACTGCTATCCAGATGAGTAGATAATTACATTGTAGTAGAAACTGTTGCCTCTCCATCAGTAATCTCCTTCCATTTTACTTTATATAAAAAAGAAACCATCTTTCACAATAGAAGCTGAAAACACCTAGGTCTCAATTCTGCATGGATACATGACAAAGTTTGGAAAGACTTCTTAAAATTTTTCTCTCCTTTATAAAAATTATGACACTAGTCTCTGACTTCGTGCACAGTTGGATGAGGGCAGCATATAGAACTTTAGCACTATCATAATACAATGAGGAGTCAAGTCTTAGAACAAGTTAGTAAGCTGAGGATCATGACATGGAAAGAAGAAAAACAAAAAAGAGAGAGAGAAAAAAAAATATGGACCCTTGTTGATATTGCTTAACTCCTGAACAAACTATAAAATCCTCATGCTTCTAGACCTCTAGTTATTTTAATTATTAGACAATTTTCTGTTAAACAGCTTTTGGGGGAGGATATAAACTGAGGACATTATAATTTATGTAACTTCATAGACTAGTCATACACAATCACCTGATTTCATACACAAGTGTTCCTCCTAAAGTGATGTGAAATAACAAGGTTTATATATAATGTCTCATTTCCAAGTCAAAAAGATTTTCAACAAACTAACATTTTGGTAGTTCTTGAAAGCTGATAAATTAATAATCTATATTCCACAACTGGCATATTACAAAGAAATAAATCACAGAAAATTAGTCGGTTTCCTCATTTTCTTCTCCCAACTTTCCTTTCTATAACTCTCTGATTTGAGAAATGAAATTCAAAAGATTTCAAAAGTCTCATATAATTTTATATCTTTACATAAATCTGTCAGCCTAATAGTTAAAATTTACCAGCTCTAGGAAACTGGAATTTATGCTATTACATTTCTGATATTAAGTTAAACTAATCCAGAGAACTAGAAATTTCTTTGCATATGAAAACACATACACAAACTTTTTTCTATTTCAATTATTTATTGTTGATGACTGCAAAAAGCTAAAGCCAAGCTGAATGGAGGAGTTAAGACAGCCAAATTGCAAGTCTCAGAATGAGAGATTAAAGTTAGACGTTTGTGTTTCATATTTTTGTCTTATCTATTTATTACTTACAATGAGCAGAGTGCTGAGAAGTATGGATCAGTAAGCACTAATGATAATTAATTAACAGTGTTTTTGGTGTTCTGGGGACTGTCCTGTTACAACTAAGGTCAAAGGAATGGAATGACAGGGAGCATATTTATGGAAGAGCAAGAAGCATAATATGCCTTACACAGAATGAGTATTTCATAAATATTGGTTGACATAAAAGGAATGACTTCTCACGACTCTATGCTAAAAGGGAAGGAGCCAAAGAAGAGAGATAAGGCATTTCTGAAAAAAATTATAGGATTTTTCAACTATTAAATAAAATGAATTATACCTGACTCTTGTAGATTGAGTTGATCACTGTTGTGAAAACATTTTAAAAGCAATATCACAGACAAAATAATTTGCACTTCTTATTTATCTAAAAAAACTGTTATTCCTACAACTAAGAGCCTAATGTCCTATTATTCTACTATATTTGACTATGCAAATGTACCATAAGAACTACAATTAAAAGCACCTGGCTCTTATTTTCCATGCTCAAAGGAGATAAAGATAAATTATCTGTAGTAGTTTTTCTTGCTGCCATAAATGGCATGGCTTAAAACAACACACATTTATTCTCTTACAGCTATGGAAATCAGGAGTGAAAAATGAATTTTATGCAATTAAAACTAAGGTGTTGGCAGGGCTGATTCTTTCTGGAGGCTATTGGGAGGAATCCTTCATACTGCCTTTCCTTCCCCAGCATCTGGGGTCACATAACTTTTTTCTTATTGAGGTCTTTTTGTCTCACTCTCCTAAGGACTTGTGTAACTACATTTAGGAACCACCTGGATAATTTGGGGTAATCTTCCCATTTCAAAATTTTTAACTTAATCACACATGCGAAGTCCCCTTTGCCATGAAAGATAACATTACTAGGTACCAGAGATTACCAAATGGGCACCTTTGGTGCAGGGGTATTATTTACTATCACATTCACAGTTTGTGGTAGATGTCTAACCATGCAGAGGTCTTGACTTGATAGTCTTGTAAAGAAAGAAAAGAATCAATTACCAAAATCAAACAACAATGATTAAATACGAAAACCATTAACAATCAGGAGATCTACTCAGGATCTTTGGAAGTTAAGAATGTAGGTTACCAGTGGACCTCACTCATCTCAGTAAACTTACTCAATATATGTTCTCCTTAATGTGAAAATTCCAAAAGATAATATTCCTCAATGCTGAATTAAAGTAATTAAAGGTCAAAAAGGGACTTTATATACTTTGCAATGATGCCTGCCTTTGATTAAGAATGTACCCAGGAAACTATAACTGCATTTATATCCATTAATTAAGTAGGTAAGAAAATGAGAACATCTTAAACGCAGTCAAAGGCAACTCTAATTTGTGTGCACATCTGGAAATTTAAGTTAAATCATATTTTAAGTAATTTACAAACTAGACTAGCAGTTTGGAGCGGGGAGGGAGAAGGGTGCTCACCTTAAATAGTAAGTCCTTCTTCCCATAACGAAGCTCTTTCAGCTGGGCTTGGATTTTTTTTGACTGCAAGAGCAGAAACACAGGTTAGTGCTTTAATTTCATTTACATTTTCAAACTTGACGATTAAAATTCTTTCAAACTTCACAAAAATGAACTTTGTAGCCAAGCAAGAGAGCCCAATGACTTTGGAAATGAAACAGAAAAGCTTAATCTCCTCGTTAGGAGTAGGACATCCAACTATTCTAGGCAAAGAGAGAAAACCAAAGCCTGCTAAAAAACAAACAAACAAAACCTATTTTTAAAAGTCATATTAAAAGAAAGTGGCTTACTCTTCCTCCCCTCATCCAAAGACTTTGAGTCACCTAAGCTTGGCCAACACTAATTTTAATATTTTATTTTTGAGTTTTAGAGAGGCGGGAAGGGAGGGAGAAAGAGAAGGCGAGAGAGAAACATAGACTGTTTACCTTCTGTACATGCCCCGGGGGACTGGCTGGCCACCCAGCCATGTGCTCTGACCATCACACTGATGACCTTTCAGTTCCCAGGACAACACCCAACCGAGACATGCCAACCAGGCTGGCCAAACCTAACTTCAGATGCTACATGCATCTCTGCAATTGTATGTATGCCTCAGTTTTCACTGCTTATTTGTATTATTTATTAAAGGAAAATTAGATATGGATAAGTTTAAATTGACCACCAAATTTGTATTTGACATATGTTCAAGGAGAAGGCAGCAAGCACATGTGACAGGAGGTGAAGAAACACTGAGCGCTGAGAAGCTGAGGTTAATGGTGCCTGCCTGCGAGAAGAACGGGCTCTTTAAGAGGACCATTACAGATGGAAATGTGCTTGTAGCAGGAATCTCCCTCAGCAGAGGTGTTTGGCTACCACACTGAAATGCATCCTGGTAAACCACAGTTGATGAGCATACTTCCCATTTTGTCCAGAGAAAACCCAATTTCAAACATTCTAACTTAAAAACGTGAGCAATTTGTCTCTCTATATCAAGATTATTGGTTCCAATTCTTTAAAAACATCCAGTGCCATTTCCAGTAGAAAAAATGGAACACAAACAAATAGTCACATGAAAAGATGATAACTGAAAAAATAGTTGAGTGACAATATAAAATAATACAATCACTTTGTGAAACAACTTGGCAACATATTATAAGTTAAACATACACATACTGCATTACAGAGCAATCCTTTGTAGGTATTTACCCAAGAGAAAGTATAATGTGTAAATAATTGTTTAGAGTATCTTTTTTTCATAGGAGTCAAATGCTGGACAAAAACGTATTTCCATTAACTGGTGAATAATAAACAAATTATGGTGTATCCATGAAATGGAATAGCAGAATAATGTTGAGCAATTTTTAAGGAAGAATTAAGTACTGGAATACATAACAATGCAGATGGATTTCAAAAGCATTAAGCCATGTGGAAGAATTCAGTCACTAAAAACTATATTTCGTATATACCGTTTATATAATATCCTACAAAACTACAAGGAAAAAGATAGGGAGAACATTCAGGTTAGTATTGGGCATTGTCTGGGGATTGATGGTAGAGATTATAAAATAGCAAAGAAAAAAGCTTTGGGGAAATGGAAATGTTACATTTTTTAAATATATTCATTGATCCAACCCATTAAAAATGTATACTTAAATAGAATATGCTCTATGTAAGTTATATATTAATAAGATTCAATTTTAAAAGTAGCTGGCCATAGTACATATAAGCATAGTATCTTCATGATACTATTATATCCTAGTAAACTATGTTGAAATGAAGTTTTCTTTAATAAATAAAGTGCGTTCTTATATTTGAAATGTTATAATTTTACAAGCATATATTGAATGTATATGAGTCTTCCATTAAACCACCTGCAAGTGTACTGTGATTGTTTCCTATTGTATTCAGAACATTTCTAACCATGAAAGGTAGTAGAGTTTGCAAAGTGGGAGACCGTGGTGCTATAAATTCCAAGTCATTATCCAATGTTGGAAGTACCACCAATTAAAGTATAACGTGGAAAGTATTGTAAATGATACACCACTGCAAGGTTCTAATATTAGCTTTTCACAGACATCCTTATTGTCAGCCACCTGCATTCTGTGATCCTTTGAATCAGGAAGGTAATGAGAGAGAACAAAAAGAAAACAAAATGAAAATAAAAACATAAACAAAATAAAAGGACATGAGAAAAGAAGGAAGGAGAGAGGGGAATAGGTGATGAGAGAGAAGAACAGAAAGAAAGAGAGGAGGGAAAGGGGAGAAGGAGAGAGAAGGGGAGAGAGAATGAGATAGGAAGCAAGGGAGGAAGCAAGGAAGAGTTTGAACATTAACAATTCAGAATTACGCAATTAAACTCCATACGCAGAAGCAGCAAGGAACAGTAGGTTGTGGTTTCTTACAGCTTATTAAGGTTTTATTTTCATTAAAAAAGAATCCTTTTTTCTTGATATGGTTAGTGAAAGTAAAATGCATGACATGATGCACAGGAAGACAAAGAGCCATCATTATGTGTATATGGTTGGTACTGGCTCTTGAGAAGTAAACACACATGAGCCCTCAGTACCTTGACTTTATATCGCTACTTCAGGACTCTCTATCTACCACAACGCTGCTCTTCCTCACACAAAGATTCCCAAGTGACCCAAAAGAATGATATTTCAGACACAGCATCTCTCTCTTGTTATCCAAACTTTATTTCCAAAACCTTTCCTGGGTTTCATGGCTATCCTTAATTTTGTGCTACTGATTTCAGTAAAGGACTATTTCTGTTATCTTTCTCAACTTCAAATGCACAGTTGATTAGGCTTTTCTCCCTGCTGTTGCAATCTGCTGTCCAGGACTTATTTACAGCCAAAACAGTCTCTTAGGAAAACATACTTTCATTTTTTTCCCCAAACTAATGTTGACTAATATCAATGGGGAATGAGAGATTACCACTACATACAGTGTGCAAAATTTGACCAACTTCACTTTTTCTTCCACATAATTGAAACTCTCTATTTTAAGTGTCAGAAAGGACTTAATGTAAACCATTTTGGGTATTCATTTTTTACTGCATACTTATACTGAATGCACAGGATATAATTTAAACATTTCTTTATAACTTAGATTTATTATTAAAATATAAATTTTGTATTATGCATTAATTCATTCAGGAACTATAATATAAACCTCCATGTCTTTTCTTCTGCACAAAGTGAACATGAATTGCTAGGTTTCCTGAGCTTAGTTATAGTTATTTAAAAATAATTTTTTAGAAATTTTCATCACACTCATCACTTCTCCACATCTGGTATTCCACTCCTCTAATTTTCAGTGGGTTAAAAAGAAAAATCCTATCTAAATATTTAATCAGAATATGATAAGTAAGAATAAACACATTTTGAATGAGTACATCTCTATCTTGTGATGCACATTGATTTGAAACCCTAGTTGGCACTGGATGTTTTCTTTTAGCTCTTTGGCTTCATCTTGAAAAATTAAATTTTTCAGAGCTGTACTCTTCAAATGATTGAGATATTACTCTATTGGGGATTTCAGTACTTTTTCTTTTATGAATGTTAATGATCTTGAATGTAATTCTAAATGTTGGTCTGTGTGAGTCATCAAGTTTTTACAAGTGCACCGCAAAAATAAAATTTGTGATAATTATGACAATTATGATGATAATTATGAAGATGATTATAATTATAATAAAAAGAAAATAAAGGAGGTAAGAAAGACAGGAGATGTTGGCCATGATAGAACATCTTGGCTGGACTTATTTTCCCTTTTGGAGACTATCGTTTAGTCGGAGATGTTTCTTCCCTACAATTTCATATTCAAATACCATTTCTTTCATGAAATAATAGTTATAATGATATGATGGTACATGATATTTGAAGTAGCTTCTATCATTTTTAATATTTTCCTTGGCAAAGTAAAATAATGGCAATGCATTTGTTGTCAGTGGGACTTGGACATTTTGTGCATCTATGAATAGCAAACATATAGGATCACTGATCCAGAAGACAAACTCCCTTTAGCTCCTAAACCAATAAAAGTTATTATTCTTCTGTTTTGGTAGTGGTGGTGGTGAAAGAAATAATAAAATTTTCCACTTATATTGAAGACAAATTATTATGACAAAAATATATGCCTTCCTTATCACCCAAATTTAAATTCTAAATTTGATCCATAAATAAACAGATAGGGTAAATGTGTAACTTAAAATGAATATATTCAATTCATTTTAACATTACATAATACTAACATATAAAGTGTCTAGTAAATAATAAATAAGAATGCAGAATAATATATTCTTTAAGCAACTGAGATGAAGAAAAAATATGAATCATTTCTGAAATAAGGGGCTAAAAAGCACAGGTGAGCCCAGGCTGTTCTTGTTTGCTTCTAAATGCTACGGAAGACTTCTCCTGGGAGCCATCTCTCTTTCATGTACAGGGTCTGGCACAAATAACGCCCCTTTTTTATTACAAAGTTAAAACATGTAATTCTGTAACATATCACACTCAAGCAAGCTATATGACATTTTAAGTGAAATACTCAAATTAAAACTATAAATTATTACACCTATATTATTACCCCCAAAACCACACTCAAACAGGTATTACTTCTGCTGGACCCTGTACATGAGTATTATGGGGACCATAGAAAATATAAACAATATAAGAAATGATCTCTACCCAAATTGAAAATTACAATGAAAGAAATACTACAACCCATTCAGTTTGATTTTTTTTTTTATCTTATGGGGCATTGACCTGTAATTCCCAGGTATTGAAAAATGTATATTTATTTCATATACAATAGTATTGTATAGATGTTATAAAATGACTTATTAAATTTCATGTTAGATTTTAACTTTAGAGTTTATAATGATCACATTTACATGCCCATCAAGGAGAGGTCTCACCTTCTTCGATAAAAGAAAACCAAAATTCTGGATGGGCACACGACTACCACACTGATGGTACTTTCCATTTCCCTTCCACTTGACTAGGCAGGTGACCCAGTTCTGGCAAACAGGGTACAATCAAATATGTGCCACTACTTCATATTTGTACTCCTAAAAAGCAGTGCTCGTGAGTCCCCAGGAAATCTTTCCTGTCCTGCTAAAAGGTGATAATAATAGGAAGAGGTTTTGGAAACAAAAGTGGGCTGCATATTTAGGAAATAACAGAGGTGTTTCACCAGCTCTGTTCCTTAGTCTAGGCCGTTATGGAAAAGGGGTCAACTTTCAATATGTTTAAGCCGCTGTTCTTGTTACTCAAACTGCTTTTCCTTCCCCCTTCCTTCACAGGCACTGGATCTGCATAGCGGTAGGAAGACTCTCTTGCCCTTTCCTATTATTCACAGGTGTTTCCGTTAGTAAATTCTTACACAATTTATCCCATCTTTCTTTGTGCTTCTCAGAGGAAAGAACTAATGCTGTGACTTGAGTCTCCTCTCCCTGAGGTATAAAGAATCACTATGAACACTATCACCACTATCTCATTACTGTCGTTAAGAATTTCTTGCTATGAGCTAACTTTCTACAACATTAAATCAGGGATCATAAAGTAAAAGTAGATTTGGGTAATCAGGAGTACAGGAAATTGATTTTAGTTATATGTGGATTAAGCAGGATAACTTTTTTTCTCTAAGAAATGCATCGGTCATTACTTTAGGGTATGCAGTGTTGAAACATCCAAAGATGTCTAAAAGTTTCCTTTACATAATCTAATGTTTGAATTTATGTTAAAAGGGGGGAAATGTCACCATATGTCTAGGTTAAAAAAAGAATGACACTAATATTGTTTCTAGCCAGTTGAGACTGGGAGAGAAAATCGACTCACCTCTTCTGCATGGATGCCACACAGCTTGTTTCCTGACAAGAGCTTGTTTTTCAGGCTTTTATTCTGAGGAAAGAAACATTGTTTTATTACTAAGAATGATAAAATACTAAGAATTTCTTTAAATATGTCAGTGGCATTGCATTTCTCTATGTTTTATTCATAAACAAGCCCTTTATTATATGAAATCCAATGAATTTAGATACACTGAGCAGAATCTGTCATATAAAAGACTTGTGCTCAATTAAATTTTTGATGTATGAACAGTAACATATTCATTAAAAAAGATGGAACTTTATTTGGCCTTATCTTTAACCTCTTTTATATTTTTGTATCTTATTTTATAAGATCATTTTATAATTTTAGTTTCAAATCTGCAATTGATGCTAATTTCTGAAAGCATCCCTAAAAACGGCAAGCATTTATTTGTACTATTACCTAGATGCTGGTCACCTTGGACCCTACTATAATATAGCTACAAGCACATTAGGGTCTGTATTCTCTTTAAAGAGGTAGTTTTAGTGTCCTCTTATATTTCTGACACCAGTTAACTGCTTTTGAAGGGCTTCTTCATGCTCAGAAGCTATTTTGTCTTCCAGGCTTCATAAGTATGGTCTCTCTTGCTTGTCTGAATATAGACAGATCAGTTAACAAACTTATAATTTTCCTACATTCTTAGGTAAATGTTTGGTACTTCTGACATAAAAGCCACAGGCTCTTAGCCATCTAAATCTAAACCCTTAGAGCTATTTAATTATATCTCTCTTGTTACACTCAAGCTTTTAGTCTTCGCCCCAGTACCTGAGTTCCCAGCCTCCTTTTAGAGAGACGGCTAAACGAGAGCAGAAAACTTTGCAAAACTCACAGGATTTTGACTACAATGTCTCTACAGGAGCAAACAGTGTAATGGTAAAGTACATCTGCATAATGACTCTAAGAGAATCAATTTGATGAGCACTATGAGCAAATTGAACAAAATTTATGCAGAGTAAATGAATAACTGAATAAATGGATGCACCAAATTTAAGAGTTCTTCACTCACAACTCTCATGGGATTTTGAGCATCATTCCCCATTTTATTTTTCTATCATGCAAAGAGGAAGTACAGCTGCCTCAGTTCGAAAGAATTCTTTGTCTATGTTTCCCTCTTTAGCTATGAGATGAAATTCTAAAACACTCATTTAGAATTTCAATACCATAATATGTTTTATGCATATGAGGAGTTATCTTGATTCACTCAATAATGTCTTTATGGAAATATTTGTACACATAATACAAGTATAACATTAGGGTTTTTAAAGAGACTTTAATAATATATGTAACTTCTATATTTAAAATCTTGTAAACTACAATAATGGGGAACATATCGATGTTCTACTTTGCACTGTTGCTCAGATTTTAGGTTTAAAACTTCCCTAGTTTCCTTTCTGTTCATGTCTATGATTTTTTTGACATGCAATCTTAAATATGTTTAAATAAAATGGTCCAGTTTCCCTTTTGTATTTCTCCTATTGTTTTGTACATAGAGATATATCTCTAAAGATTTGATATGCATTTATATTTTTCATCTTTTTATGGTTCTATTGTTTTTGTCAAAGGTTGTGAAAATTCAAATAAGGTCTATAGTTTGTTTAATAATATTGTATTAATGTTAATTTATTGATTCAATAATTGTGTTATCACTCTATGATGTTACATAAGTTTTGGTAAAGGTACATAACATTCTGTATTAATTTACCATGCTCTTTTTTTATGTCAATAACATTGCAAAGTAGGAAGTTAAAATATCTAAAAATAAAATTTAAATAAAAATAAAAATGTAAACATTGAATGAAGCACATTTGGTATGAAGATTTATGTATCAACAAAAAGTATCCATACCTGATTAACTTTATTAGGAATGATAATAAAATTAGTATATTTAAATATTGGTAAATGTAGTCTATACTACTTAAAATTTGCATCTTCACTTATAACTTTTCTTTCTTTCCTTTTTGCCATTTGTTCATGCTATTCAATTCTGAGGTGAGAGATAAAGCAGTGAATAAAACATGATATCACTGGAAATGTTTACAATAGACTTGGACAATGCACTTTATTGGCACTGGGAAAGCTGCCACTCCTCAACATGGACACCATCCAACAATAAGCAGTGATTATATTGTGTGTCCAGAGTTAGCTCTGGCAATAGATAATTCTGGGCAACTGTGTAAAGCAATATGTTTCCATTAAGCTAAATGTCATTTCTAGAGCTTAAGAATTATTTTGAAACATATTTTGAAACATATCCAGGACTGGGAATAATTAATTATAATCACCCACAATGGGGCTAATTATGGGACACAAGGGAGACTTATCAAGGCCCATACTGAGATTATTCTTAGATGACATATCCTTCAGAAACATGGAAAACACAGACATCCAGACAAGGCACTGATATAACTTCTCCACTCATGATTAGTGACTGTACTTCTTTAATTATAGTAAAACTATGGTTTGATAATATTTAGTCATTAAAAACAAAGTTTTTACAGTTTTGTGATCAGATTTGTGTCATTTCATCTACCTTCTATGTAAAAAATCTCATCTACATTAAATTTAACAATATTTTTATAAGATCTAAAATGTAATTATATGCAAAATGCCAGGATCTAATGATGATTATGCCTCACTTGAGGGGATATAAATAAAAGTATATTTAAAGTCATCAAATGATTAAATGTCTGTCCTTTCTGTCTGTCCCTCTTCCACCATCCCTTCTTCTAACAACCATAATTTTGATTTTTCTTATGAGAAATGTTTCCCATGCTAGTTGCAGGTGGCTTGTGTGATACTAACTCCATCCAGTATATCAAGAGAAAGGAATAAGTCTCAAGCCCAGCCAATCAGAGTCTTGGTCCAGATTTGGTAAAGTAACAAAAACATCACTGATGAGACTCAAACATAGATATTTTATTTTTGAGAATTAGTGAGAAAAAAATGTTGAGGTTCATCACTAAATCAGAAGTTATCTGAGAGTAGGCCTAACCTGTCATGGGGGGAAGCGAAAAAGACACCTGAGTATATGAGTTCTGTCCAGCAAGTATCCAGCCATGCACTATGAGAAATAGAGACATGTATTGAAGAAGATACAAGGTACTAAAACACTGTATATGGGACAATGGTGCCTCAGTCCCCTTCAAAGTAGGCACCTAGGGACCTCACACAGTTCTCCCCATCGCTATTAGCTGCTCTGTTGTATTTTCCTGAATCTTATAGATGGTCTGAAATCTCTTCCCTTTCAAAGGTGATTTTAGTTTTGGGAAAAGCCAGAAGTCACGGGGTGCCAAATCTGGGCTGTAAGGGGGCTGAGTCACCTGGGTGATTTGATGTTTTTCAAAAACACTCTTCATGAGACATGATGCATGCATGGGCACATTGTTGTGATGAAGCTGCCAACCACTAGTTGCCCATAGCTGTGGCCTTCTGAATCATCCAAATAGTTTCTGTGGAGGTATGTTCAAGCTTAACACAAAATTTGATGCAGATTTGTTGCTCTACTCACTTAGTCATTTTGATTGTGTTGGCCACACAGTACTCATGCTCACTCAACAGTGTCTACAGCCCCCACTGACTAGCACAGTGAAGTCATCATTGTTCATGCATGTGTATTCCAGTCCACTCTCCATGTCTGCCAGGTTACACATATTTTTGTGCAAACTTTTCTCATTATATTAACCATGGTTGGACTTTTTCTGAAGAGACCTCTATATAAAGAAATACTAAATTATGGTGATGCTGTAGCTTCCTCTTCTCTCCTTTATACAGCCTTGTTGGAAGCAAGTATACTGGGTTTTTCAATTACATTTTTCTAGCAGCAGCCCTTCTATTCTCTTGAGACCATGTTTAAATCTTTTTGTCCACACTATAATCCCATAATCCCTTCACTCTCAATATTTAGAAAGGCAAAGGGCATCCAAGTAACTAAGATTTTATCTAATACTAATGACATAGCTTATCAGGATGTGGGCAGAGAATATATCTATGTATTTTGCCTTTTTTAAATGGGAGGTAGATCTGGCTTACCACCTGCTCAGGTTATTCTGCCCAACTGGATGCTGTACAAATTCAGTGTAGGTTAAAATAAGTGACCCTACAACCTTCTTGGGAACCCAGTTTGTGCATGTCTCATCCCTGCCAAAAAAAAATGTCATTTATTCCTTCCCAATGGCAAGATGATAAAACTCAAACTCAAATCTGGCTGAACAGAAAATGTTTCTTAAATATATGATACATCTACTTAATCTAGTTTTGATTTTTGCCTGTGAACTTAAAACATCCTATTTTCAGTATAGTTTACAGGGTGTCTCAAACCCAACAAACATTCTGGGCTACAAAACAGAAAGAGAAACAAACCTAGTATATCTCTATAATCTGGCCATATAGAAATATAAATATTTCCAAATTACTGTGAGTAATTTTACATAGCACTTTAAAGTAAAATCAGGTGTTAATTGGGGTTTTTGTTTGCAAACAATAGAAACCAATAACAGATAAAACAAGTAACACATGAATTTCTAATGTGAGGGTTGCATGTAGAATAAAGGGAAAGCCTGGGGAATAAGCCTCAGAAAACATGAGGGAACCAAGGAGGAGGAAGTATCCATAATTATAAGACAGGAATAGAGTTATTGTGACAACTAAATGAGAGACTGTAGATCGCTGTACTTAATTACAAGGTAAAATGATGATGTCTCAATGCATTTTCATGGTGCAAGGCTGAACCTGGGACCACTTAGGATTATCAAATGTAATAAATTATGCAAATGTGTTTATACATTATTTTTTGGATTTAAATAAAATATACCACTACTGCTACACAGCTGAAAACATGAGCCAATGCTGTTAAAGTGCAATTAAATGTGAACCTAAAGTATGAACACCTGCAGGGGTATTAAAAATAAAACCAGTCATTGCTGTCTCACTATGAAAAGCATCTCCAATTTTAGAACTTTCTAAAGCTGATGCACAAAAACCACTATGCATGACTGCTTGAGATCCACATTTGTTGCAATTTAAATGTGTTT